AGCTAGTGCGACTAAAAGTGTTGAGACATTTGCATCCTTAAATTAATAGTAATTTGTTTTTGGTCATTTATTTTGATGATTGATATGTCAGCATCCTACCTCCTGTAGTTTGTCTCCGTGCTTCTAGAGGTCCCTTGGTTTCTCCTCTGCCTTAGTTCTTCCTCGTGTGGCCTTGTTAGCATTATCCAGGTCACCTGTGCCTTGTTTCCCCAGTGTATTTAAGTTGTGTATTTTTCCCTTGGTTCCTCACTCGGTTTTTGAGTCTTCTCCCTGTGTTTCCAGCCTGGTCTCGCTAAAGCCTCCCTAGCTACCCCAAGTAAGGTATCCTGAGTTCAGGATGAATGGGCACAGTAGTATTCATTTAACAACATTAGGTGTAACACACAACCCTGATAAGAAAAAACTAAGAAGAAACATAGTTATTTCAACATAAAAACATCAAATTTGAAATGTAATGCAGGGAATTCTGGGAATGTCAATTTACGGTTATTCACTGTAAATTATACGGTCTTTTTCGCTTCCAAAAATGGTATATTACCGTAAAATTAATGTCCAATACATGTAATGTCCAATACAGTTTTCACCGTATATAGTAGGGGAATTTACCATTAACCATTTAACAGGTTTTTACTGTAGCATTTTTACAGTCTTTTACCGTTAAATTCACGGTCATTTTTTACAGTGTACAGCTGGAGCGACAAAGCATTTGTACTCTTTTAGGTACATTCCTGTACCTTGATTTTTCTGTGTGTATTTGTATATAATTTTTTTTTATTCAGCTACCATCAGAGCTGCTCAGACATATTCTTCTAGATGTTGTCTATACAGAAGGAGATGGAGCCTTTCTCACTCTGTCACTAGTGTGCAGAAAGTTTTATGGCATCAGTTTTCGAAGTAAAGCTCACTTTGCCTGGCTGGACAGTATGTATATTTAGTACTTTTATTAACTGAACAAGGTTTTTAAAAATATTTATAAAGTTTATTGCATTAATTCAGAGATTCAAAGAGAATTTTTTTTCTTGTGTAGGTATCGTTGACTGGAAGTCTGTCAGTCCAGATGTGAGGAAGACATACAGAGTGGAGTTTGAGCTCACCAGTTGTGATGGCTGTATATGCATCTGCAAAAACACTACTGGATACTGTGACCATGGAAAGAAGGGGGTCTTCACAGCGTTCTATTCAAAGAGTTTGCTGGCTTCTGTTCTATGGACTGCTACTACAGCATTAATGAATGAATGAGTGGTTTATTTGTTTATTTTTTTTACTTGAATTGGCAACTGAAACTGAAAGCTAAATAAATGTTTTCGTGGATAAACCTGTGTGTTTACACTAAACACCATCATAGTAACATACATGAAACTGAAATAATACAATAAACATTCATTTAACAACATTAGGTGTAACACACAACCCTGATAAGAAAAAACTAAGAAGAAACATAGTTATTTCAACATAAAAACATCAAATTTGAAATGTAATGCAGGGAATTCTGGGAATGTCAATTTACGGTTATTCGCTGTAAATTATGTTTTTTTTTCACTTCCAAAAATGGTATATTACCGTAAAATTAATGTCCAATACATGTAATGTCCAATACAGTTTTCACCGTATATAGTAGGGGAATTTACCATTAACCATTTAACAGGTTTTTACTGTAGCATTTTTACAGTCTTTTACCGTTAAATTCACGGTCATTTTTTACAGTGTACAGCTGGAGCGACAAAGCATTTGTACTCTTTTAGGTACATTCCTGTACCTTGATTTTTCTGTGTGTATTTTTGTTGTAATTTCATATTTTGAATAGTTTTGTATATATATATTTTTTTATTCAGCTACCATCAGAGCTGCTCAGACATATTCTTCTAGATGTTGTCTATACAGAAGGAGATGGAGCCTTTCTCACTCTGTCACTAGTGTGCAGAAAGTTTTATGGCATCAGTTTTCGAAGTAAAGCTCACTTTGCCTGGCTGGACAGTATGTATATTTAGTACTTTTATTAACTGAACAAGGTTTTTAAAAATATTTATAAAGTTTATTGCATTAATTCAGAGATTCAAAGAGAATTTTTTTTCTTGTGTAGGTATCGTTGACTGGAAGTCTGTCAGTCCAGATGTGAGGAAGACATACAGAGTGGAGTTTGAGCTCGCCAGTTGTGATGGCTGTATATGCATCTGCAAAAACACTACTGGATACTGTGACCATGGAAAGAAGGGGGTCTTCACAGCGTTCTATTCAAAGAGTTTGCTGGCTTCTGTTCTATGGACTGCTACTACAGCATTAATGAATGAATGAGTGGTTTATTTGTTTATTTTTTTTACTTGAATTGGCAACTGAAACTGAAAGCTAAATAAATGTTTTCGTGGATAAACCTGTGTGTTTGCTAAATTTGTTAATGTCACTTAACAGAAGCCTGACTAATTTTTAAATTTTTATAATTTAGTGGTTTTGTCAACTATATATTTTTCTCTATAAGGCAAAACATTGTTTTCTAAATTGGTTAATGTCACTTAACAGAAGGTTGCTAAACTCTTCTGACTAATTTTTTAATTTGGTGGTTTTGTCAACTATATTTTTCTCTATCAGGCAAAACGTTGTTAGGCTAACACTTTACAATAAGGTTTCATTTGTTGACATTGATGTATTAACTAACATTAACTATGAGCAATACATTTGTTACAGTATTTATTAAGCTTTGTTAATATTAGTTAATACAAATTCAGCTGTTCATTGTTTGTTCTTGTTCACTTCACAGTGCTTTAATGTTAACAAATACAACTTTTGACTCAATACAGTTTTCACCGTATATAGTAGGGGAATTTACCATTAACCATTTAACAGGTTTTTACTGTAGCATTTTTACAGTCTTTTACCGTTAAATTCACGGTCATTTTTTACAGTGTACAGCTGGAGCGACAAAGCATTTGTACTCTTTTAGGTACATTCCTGTACCTTGATTTTTCTGTGTGTATTTTTGTTGTAATTTCATATTTTGAATAGTTTTGTATATATATATTTTTTTATTCAGCTACCATCAGAGCTGCTCAGACATATTCTTCTAGATGTTGTCTATACAGAAGGAGATGGAGCCTTTCTCACTCTGTCACTAGTGTGCAGAAAGTTTTATGGCATCAGTTTTCGAAGTAAAGCTCACTTTGCCTGGCTGGACAGTATGTATATTTAGTACTTTTATTAACTGAACAAGGTTTTTAAAAATATTTATAAAGTTTATTGCATTAATTCAGAGATTCAAAGAGAATTTTTTTTCTTGTGTAGGTATCGTTGACTGGAAGTCTGTCAGTCCAGATGTGAGGAAGACATACAGAGTGGAGTTTGAGCTCGCCAGTTGTGATGGCTGTATATGCATCTGCAAAAACACTACTGGATACTGTGACCATGGAAAGAAGGGGGTCTTCACAGCGTTCTATTCAAAGAGTTTGCTGGCTTCTGTTCTATGGACTGCTACTACAGCATTAATGAATGAATGAGTGGTTTATTTGTTTATTTTTTTTACTTGAATTGGCAACTGAAACTGAAAGCTAAATAAATGTTTTCGTGGATAAACCTGTGTGTTTGCTAAATTTGTTAATGTCACTTAACAGAAGCCTGACTAATTTTTAAATTTTTATAATTTAGTGGTTTTGTCAACTATATATTTTTCTCTATAAGGCAAAACATTGTTTTTTAGGGTAACACTTTACAATAAGGTTTCATTTGTTGACATTGATGTATTAACTAACATTAACTATGAGTAATACATTTGTTATAGTATTTATTAAGCTTTGTTAGTATTAGTTAATAAAAATACAGCTGTTCATTGTTAGTTCACTTCAAAGTGCTTTAACTAATGTTAACAAATACAACTTTTGACTTACTTTAACTTAAGAACAGTTAGTGCGACTAACCGTGTTAAGAGACGTTTGTATCCTCCAAAAAATTATTGTAATTTGTTTTTGATTATTGATAAACTAAGACATAAACTTGCGGTGGTGATGACATCAGTAACCCGCGCCATGCAGAAGTTCCGAAGGTACTTTCTAAAGTCATTTAAAATGATATTCTTAATATCATTAACGCTGTTTTTACCTTGGAAGAATTAAATTTGGTTTTATAGGATTATGTTGAATTTATTGCTTCCTTTTAATCTGTAGATTAAGAGTATGGCTCGCCTAAGTGAGTATAATTACTGATTATATTCTTTTAATAATTTAAAAGATTAGTTTAGTTTAGAAGTACCCTATCGACGATACTGGGCTTTCTCTCTCTCTCTCTCTCTCTCTCTCTCTCTCTCTCTCTCTCTCTCTCTCTGTCAGTGTCTGTCTGGAGAAATACTCAAGCAGTCATACTTCTTTACATCTTCAGGAAGGAGCTGGCTTCGCCGTGAATGGAGATTCTAAACTCTGCACGATAGCAGTCTTTGAACAGAGACTCTCTACCATTCCTCCATCGGACTACATCAAAGGGACTCGTTTATTAATAACGACGCAACCGTTTGTTATAAGTATGACGCATAAATAATGTATAATAATTGCTCTGATGGAAGATCTTTCTCTAATAACTTGGAGGATTTTGATTCTATACGGAGTGTGCTTCTTTACAGGTTAGTACAGGACTCGATTATTGATTCGAGTTGTTTGTTTGTTGCTTTCCTCAGCTGTTTCTCGCATACCGGGGGGGATTTAAAGACCCACTCGAGTGCAGGTACATTCAAATGTTTAGAAGTTAAATAATTACGAGCTTCCTATCAAAATGACAAAATCGCTGATTTATTTAGAAACCTTAGCTGTCATTGTAAACCTCTTATTTATTTTACACCGAAACTTTCATAACATGTACTAATCTGTTATTATGATATTAGTTTTTTTTTAATTATAATTTTTTTTTCTTTCTTATAACTAGCTACTTTCCACGCTGTTCGACAAAAGCTTCCGTGTCGCTATAGAAACGACTCGATTCTACCAATCACAATTTGAGAAACTTGTCACGTGGCCACTGGACGAGACCCGTATGCGGAAAACATAACAAGACGCTGTTGCCGTTCAAAAGAAAAATCCACATTTTGAAACAGATCTAACGTTTATTGAGTAGAAACATGCGTTAATGGCTTCTAGACGTGTTAAAGACGGAACCGGAACGGAGTTCGAGTCCGACTTGCGCGAAAACAAGGAGGAAGATGGAGGGAGCGCAACTGATTCTGATGCGTCAAGTTACAGTTACTCAGATTACTCCGAGTAAGAAACAACAACAAACTCAAAACTGTAATTATTCATTACTGGATTGCCAATTAGATGTCTTCAAGTTGCATGCGTTGCTATAAAACGTTCGTTTTGTTATTTACATCATTGTCAAGTTGGCTGCATTTGTGTATGTAAACATAGCCTATGCTTGTTTTATTAATATATGAGTCTATTGAAATAGATACATGTACTAGAGCTGGTCTGGTTTATTTCAGTTGAAGACCCACATTTAGCCTCATGAAAAGGAAAAATAGACCTCGTCCATTTTCTGCCCAAACTCAAAACTGTAATTATTCATTACTGGATTGCCAATTAGATGTCTTCAAGTTGCATGCTTTGCTATAAAACGTTCGTTTTGTTATTTACATCATTGTCAAGTTGGCTGGATTTGTGTATGTAAACATAGCCTATGCTTGTTTTATTAATATAGGAGTCTATTGAAATAGATACATGTACTAGAGCTGGTCTGGTTTATTTCAGTTGAAGACCCACATTTAGCCTCATGAAAAGGAAAAATAGACCTCGTCCATTTTCTGCCCTCTCTCATTTTTTAAGGGGATTTTCTGTTTCCAATTTGGAAAGTCAGCCATCATAAATAATTATATGCTATTCACCATCTTTAGTGAATGCATGCACGTGGTTGCCAAGAGCTAACCACCAAAGCAGTGTGGCTTCATTTAGAAATGGGGAAGAAAACATGATGGCTGGCTCTGGCTGAATATTGAGCTGAGCTTTTCTGGACTGAAGGAGAGGATTCGGTTTCAACGCTTCAGGATGTGTGGCTTCCGCTGCAGCATTCGGACTCCTCGCTTATGTAGTGTTTAGTTTGTGTTCCTAAACTCTCTTGTACCACTTATTGCTTACTTGGTGGTGCTGAAATGTTGTCTGTTGCGAGAAGTGAGCGACTGCAATGTTTTCACACGAAATGTCTTCTTATCCGGAATATTGTGTTTGAGAGTATAGTGATCGCTGTACTTGATCTTAAACTACTTTAAATAACATTTTTACAATAACATACAGTATCTCACAGAAGTGAGTACACCCCTCACATTTGTGTAAATATTGTATTATATCTTTTCATGTGACAACACTGAAGAAATGACACTTTGCTACAATGTAAAGTAGTGAGTGTACAGCTTGTGTAACAGTGTAAATTTGCTGTCCCCTCAAAATAACTCAACACACAGCCATTAATGTCTAAACCGCTGGCCACAAAAGTGAGTGCACCCCTAAGTGAAAATGTCCAAATTGGGCCCAAAGAGTCAATATTTTGTGTGGCCACCATTATTTTCCAGCACTGCCTTAACCCTCTTGAAGCTTTTATCAATTGAGAAACTACATGGAATAATTAATACAAAAATGAATTTGTCACATTTGTAAAAACCAGTTAATAAGCTTCTTTCCCCTCTAAATTGGAACCTAAAATTGTGATATTGAAAAACGAATGTCCAGTATTTTTATTGTTAACTAAAATAATAATACAAATGTTTGAAAAAAAGCTGAAAAAAAAACTTTTACAAAAATGAAATGTTGCCTTGGCAACTAACAAATAAAAATAAGTTTAAGATGGAGTACTAAAATGAATAAAACTGAAATAAAAATAAATGAAGCTAAATAGAAATATTTGAAAAACAAACTAATAAAAGTGACTGAAGCACTTTTAAAAAAGTGACTGAAGGCTAAAACTTTAAAATTGTAAATGAAAACTGAAATATTAAATACATTTAAAATATTAATAAATTCTACACTAAAAATAAAACAATTATAACATAGAAATAGCTATTTTACAATTAATTACAGCAGGAAATACATTGAATTAAAATTAAATGTTGAAGTAGAAAGACAGACGTACCTATTCCATTAATCTTTGTTTTATTTACAACTTAAAATATGTCATTTTTACATTGTGTAATTGTATATAAGCAATACTTAAATAAAACCTGCAGTCGATTTCAACCTAATGAAGCTGATTGAATTGACTTAGTTCTTATTTATCAACATAGTCATGTCAGTAGATTTTAGCAAAAGAAGCTGGGCTGACTCAAAAAAGTTTGTTCTGAGAATAATGACATTCAGACATTTTAAGTGTCCAGATACTTTTTTGAGGCCACTGTATATTGGGTATTATTGCATGCTTCTCTAATGCTCTCTTTGTTTTTTGTCACAGTGACCTGGAGCCGGAATGGCTGGATGACGTCCAGAAGAACGGTGAACTCTTCTATCTGGAGCTGAGTGAGGGAGAGGAAGAAGCTCTGCTGGCCCAGGTCTCTGCCAATCACTCCGCTGCCACCAATCACGTCCGTTTCAGTGATAAGGAGGCAGAGATTATCACCGACAATGGCAAAAAGCAAGCAGCCTCTGGCAAATCCGAAGCAAAACTCAAGAAGTTCACCAAGATCCTGGGACAAAAGCGGCGACCATCTCAAAGGAAAGCCGCTGATGGAAAAGACGCAGGGTCTTCCCAGCGTCCCACCTCCATCTTGAAGAATCAAGCGGGCCAGCGGCCGGGAGTCGTGGTCCAGCAGCAGCGTCTGAAGGACGTGTGCGTGTATCTGAACCCCAAACGTCTCGCGGGTTCCTCGTCTCCGTCTCCTGAGAGAGGCGGATTGTTAGAGGCCTTGCTGGGTGTCGTTCACCGTCCAGGAGGAAGTGCTGGGAAAAAAGGGGGAAAACTCATCATCCATGGTCTGGTCCCACATAGTCCCGCTAGCAAGTGTGCAGAAATTCTTATCGGTAAGCGCAGCTAGACCAGGAATGTGTCAGTTAAGAAAATGTACTAGTATTTTTTAGGGATGCTCTGATCGATCGGCCGGAGATCGGTATCGGCCGATAATCATATTTTATGACTCGATCGGTACACACTACACTTGGCCGATCTCACGAGCCGATCGCAATTTGATGACGTCAACGCGTGACGACGTACATGATGCGTGGAGACATAAATGATTTGGCGCCACAAGTCATGTCATCGCCGGTGTGGAAATGCTATGACGTTTTGAGAAACAATGAAAAATTTGCTATTTGTCGTGTATGTTTTGCATGATGATATGATGAATGGATGGTTTATTTTTAACAGCAGATTCAGTGACGTTAGAGCTGATCTGCGCATCACTGCACACGTCTGCCGCGCCGTTACGACTCCACGGGCACCGGAGCGGATCGTGGCCGATCTAGTCAGTGCTTGTGTTTATCAGCCAGCCGCAGCACGTTTCTAAAGCGGCTCTCTGTGCTGCTTGGCTAAAAATAGTCTTTTGTGAGTTGGCACAGCATGGAGGACGGAACAAAACCTTGTCGGAGCCGTAAGGGATAACGGTAACATAACACGCTGATCGTGGGCTGCTTTTAAATGAACATTTATTTATTAAACAAAATATATTTTATTATGTCTATCTATTAGCCTACACAATAGCATTAACACAGGCTTTAGTCCTTTCAAACTTTATCTGGAATGTCACCGTTTCTGTCACTGCAACTTCCCGATCAGGCGAACAAACACACACACACACACACACACACACACACACGGAATCATCTGCCTCATGAAAAAAATGTAGTTAATATTTGCATAATTTATGATTTATTTTATCCACCCGCGACCCACCCGCAAATAATCAGAATGCATTTTTTATTACCGCATTACCGCATTTTTTATTATCCGCAGTGCCCGTGGATATAAGAAAAGCTAAATATGTTTGCTGCGTAAATCAGACGGACTTACTGAAAATGCAAATTCATTCTCTGCCAGCAGGAGGTGCTTTAAAGCAGGAGAAACTGGTTTCCCCGGTAACGGCTGTACACAAAGTAGCACTGAGCTCACAAACTCTGCTTTATGAACCAGCTCTAATGCCATGGCGAAAGTTTGAGCAAAACATGCGAACTGTTCTGTCTTTGGCTGCACAGACAAGCACAGAACACTGTTTAGAGTCCCAGCCTCAGAGGAGACAAGAGAGCAGTGGATTTATTGATTTATTTATTGTATATTGCTGCTGCCGCACAGATATAATATATAAACATGCGATTTATTTCCCAGCTGTTTACCTTCACAGACATAACAGACTTTTTTTGTAACTCATATGCATTTTTAACGGAAACTTGTGTGTGAATGAGAACTTAGTTTAGTACTCACATGCTGTGACAGCCGCTTTCTGTCCGTGTGCTTCAGATGTGTGCGCTCAGAAAACTGTATATCAGAAGTTTAAACTAATATGGTTTAAAACGCATGATTTCAGCGCGATAAACATGAGAATCAGAACCAAAATGTATTTTTAGCACGTCCGAGCTGTAATGGTGCTCTTTTCTGGAAAAGGGGGCGGGGAGCAGCAGCTCATTTGTATTTAAAGAGACAGGCACAAAAAACAGCGTGTTTCTGCTTCCACTCAAAATAGGCATTTTCAAAATGATATAATAAATGATCTGTGGAATACTTTGAGCTTAAACTTCACAGACACATTCTGGGGACACCAGAGACTTATATCACATATTGTAAAAAGGGGCATAATATGTCTCCTTTAAGTCAAGTTGCAGCTTGGTGTTGTGGTTGGATTTACTCATATTCTCTCTCACAACTGCTTGTTAAGCACTCTAGTCATATGACAGGAAGCTGTTTTTTCAATTGTGCAGTATATTTACAGTGAATGTTTTTCAGTTGATGACCTAAAAGGACATTCAAGGGGAACCCGCAGTCGTTTTCTTCCCGAGGCAGACCAAAGAAATTCCAAACGGGTTACACCACCCCGAAAACTCTTTCCCCAGCAGCCTTTTACAATTGTTTCTCAAACGCCCCTCCATACTAAAGCAATTAGACCGTTTATCTGAAATAACTGAGGGAAATCTTTGCATGCCGCAAAGGGAAGAGTGTGCAAATCTACCGAAGGCAGGTGGAGGTGCTGTTTGATGTGCATTTGTTTTTTATCTTATTATAGAGATACAATTTACCTAAGCTGTTTGTACACTCAAGAATCAGGCGACAAGTTACAGATGTTAGTTTTTCATGTTTTCTGTAGGTGATGCCCTGGTTGCTGTGGACGATGTGGACGTTACTTCAGAAAATATTGAGAGGGTTTTGTCCTGTATACCAGGCCCCACACAGGTAAGTGTGAGATTTTGTGTCTTTTCCCTAAAATTGAGCATCTTTCTAAGACTAAATGCTTGAAACGTTGAAACAGAGCCAAAGGTGTTTTTGAAGTTCGAACAAAGAAAATGAACAAATGTGTGGCTCATAATGTTTATTTTGCTCTGTAGTTGTCTGCAGCAGTCAAATAGTTCAACCCTGAGGTACATATAAGGATGAAAGCTGAGAAACATTTTCACCACTTGTGAGACAATTGCTCAGTTTTTCTGCCCGCAGACCTCCCGTAAACTCACAAACTCTGGGGGCACATCAGGTCAACTTTATTCTTTGGGAGCTGAAGTCTGTTTGTAAGGGATTAATTTGACTTAATTGGCTTGAAATTAGTTTTTTTTAAACAAGACATAATCTTTTCAGATTAGCACTTTCTAAAAGTGGTTTTGGTTTTTGGTCTGTGCCTCTCGGGCTTGCGAGTAAACGCTCGGCCTGACTGATTTTATTATTTTCCTGAAAACCCTCCAAATTAACTATATTTTTTACATTAACACATTTGGTTAAATGTGCTTGGTGAAATATTAGCCGTAATCTTGTCATAAACAAGACAAATGGACTGTCGATGTGCATTAAGCTTTGATAGTTTCCTCATGTCGTAAGCTGCTGCTGAGCTCTTTGGGTTGGTGAGGCTGTTGCAAAATGTTGGTAAAATTATACAGTTTTTTTACTTTTTGCATTTTCCACTTATGGCCAAAATAGTGATTGATTTCAACTAGTGGTTGACCGATATATCGGCCGATATTTGGCATTTTTCAAATATCGGCATTGGCCGATAAGTTTTTCTGTTTGGCCGATGTTTTCGAGGCGGGACGTTTATTTTGACGGCGCTGAGAACAGCAGCGCCTGAGCACACAGTGTTCACATTCTCCTTGTTTGCTGTCGTCGTTAACAGTTCTGTCTAATACAGATAGAAGTCTATCAAATAATCAGATAGAACTGTTAAACAAAGGAATTAAAATGTATACAAAAAAAGTATTATAACGATTGCTTTAATATTATTAGTAATAGAAATGCAAACATTATAATACTTTCTTGTTTGCCATCAGCATTCAGCAAATTTATATAATTTAAACAAATTTTTGAATGACTAATGAACATTTAATTTCACAAACCTTGCAGACTTAGTCGAATCTAGTTGAGATCTTGTGAAGTGTGCATGTGTATCCTGCATGATCGCGTGTTCTCTGCGTGACGGTCGGTCCGTGCAAATTGAATGCTGACAGGAGGAGAGTTCAGCTTGACTGGAGACGCGCGATCGACAAACTTTAAACTAAGTTAGTGATTTCAAATTATGCTGCGCTTTATGCTTTTGCCCACCGTCATATTCATGTCATTTTCATTGCGTGCTGTATGTAAAATGAGTGTTACCTTGGTTTTATTTGAAAAAAAAAAAAGATTCCCAATGCACACAAACTTCCCAGATTACTGAGTGCTTCCTTTTTAATTAGATTTTTATTAAATACTTATTTATTTTGATTTCAAATTATGCTGCGCTTTATGCTTTTGCCCACCGTCATATTCATGTCATTTTCATTGCGTGCTGTATGTAAAATGAGTGTTACCTTGGTTTTATTTGAAAAAAAAAAAAGATTCCCAAAACAAACTTCCCAGATTATAAATAAAATGATATCAGCTTTATGTTGGCTATCGGCCACCCTGCTTTCCAAGATATCGGCATCGGCTGTCAAAAAACACATGTCGGTCGACCACTAATTTCAACCTAAAACACTATAGAGAACCTTTTGTGCAGTTTAAAGGTTGTTGCAGGTTCTTTGTGGAACCATCAATGCCAGTATAAAGAAGCTTTATTTTTAAGAGTGTGTTGCATCATGGGGACAGAAGACGTTGAGTTCAACCAAACATTGATGCTTTGCAGCCTTGTTTTTCTATAGCTAGACGCTGCTTCTTTCTGAGAATGCTTTCCATTTGATCACTTCTAAAGCTGGTTTTGTTCACTTACTTGCCTGAAAGAGGACAGAATGTTGAAATTACAGAGTTGCGTCGGGACGGCGGTGACGAAAACGCTTGTTTTTGTAGGCCACAGGAAAAGAGCCATTATCCTGTGGAGACGAGAGAGGGAGAAAGTGATTAAAGGACAAGAACCGATAGCAAATTACACTATAGGACAAAAAAAGGACAGGCGAGGCTATTAGGATATTAGGGTAGAGGAACGGTGCTCTTGTGAGATTTCAAAGGGCTTGCCAAGATTTTAAAATGAACTTCGCCTCGGCTGGTGATTTATGAAATTATAAGAGTTTCATAATTGTTGTTGAGTCCGACCTTAAGAGTTACTAAACTGGAACAAAACCATCATGTCCACTGACAGCGGCCTTTCATTGGACACTGACACCAACACAGGGTCAGATTTTGTTTTTTGAAATAAATTAATATACTTTTTTTTGAGCAAGGATGCATTAAATTGATCAAAAGTGGCTGTAACAAACGATTTCTGTTTCAAATAAATGCTGTTCTTTTGAACTTTCTATTCATCAAGGAATCTGAAAAAAGTGTTTCACAGTTTCCACAAAAATACGAAGCAAATATGAACTTTTCAATATTGATAATAATCAGAAATGTTTCTTGAGCAGCAAATCAGCACATTAGAATGATTTCTGAAGGATCATGTGACACTGAAGACTGGAGTAATGGTGCTGAAAATTCAGCTTTCATCACAGGAATAAATTACATTTTACAATATATTCAAATAGAGAATAGCTATTTCAAATTGTAATAATATTTCATAATATTGAGGTTTTTTTTCTATATTTTTGATCAAATAAAATCAGCTTTGACATCACTGGAATAAATTACACTTTAAAATATATTAAAACAGAAAACAGTTATTTAATTTGTAATAATATTTTACAGTATTGCTGTTTTTACTGTACTTTACTTTAACTTTACTTTAACTTAGCTGCCTTAATTTTTTAAGTGCAATCAAACTGGCTGTACAAGTTATTTTAACTTTAATTATTTTAAAGTGACTTAGAAAAATTTGATTCTTGTATAACTTAAAAAAAATTAAGTTGAAATTGGTTAAAATAATTAGATTAATTAAAGTAAGTTTTTTTTTTTTTACAGTGTATTTGTGATCAAATTAATTCAGCTTTGTATAACAGGAATTAATTACATTTTACAATAAATTCAAATAGAAAACATTTATTTCAAAAGAGACTTCTTTAAAAAAACATTGCAAATTCTTTCCGATGATAGTGTAAGTATCAAATAAAATACATTGCTTTTGAAGCAACATAAATTTAAAAAAAATGTAAAAGTGTTAAGGTCATTGCACACCGAGTCCAAAAATTTCATCCGAAATTTTCGCACATTAAAAAATAAATACGACCTCACGTTATGTCAATCACGTTTACACACTGCCTCCGAAATATTCGTCCGTCATAAAAAAATCGGATCGGGTTGGATTTTTTTCCGTTTTTCGCATCCGTAGCAAGCATTTTGAGAGGTGTTTTGACAGTTCGGAGCCACCGTACAAGCGAACGCCAAAATCCAGAATGGCGATTGTCAAGTTCATCCACTTGGTCTCGCAGCACAAAGCACTGTATATAGATCCTTGCACACCGAGTTCACAGAAATTGTTGGTCTTCTTTTTAATATGTGGCTCTAGTATCGCTAGCAAAAGCATCAACCTGAGCCACTGACATCCTGAAGTAAACTTTGAATCACCCGGGATAATCCCGCTGCTCCTTAATAAGGAGGGGAACTCTCCTTCCTCTCTATCTCAGAATTGGATTGACCCAATATTTCCTTTCTTTTTCTTTTTTTAAGAAGCGAGAGGACAACAAAATCATCCTCACTGCTTGAAGACTCCATTTAGTGCTGTTTTGCGAATCTTTTCGCAACGAATTAATTAATACGCATCGGACTCAGTGTGCAAGGTTTCTGTGCGTGACGAATTTTTAGGATTTCGAATACGAAAAAACGCATACGAAAATTTCCGACTCGGTGTGCAGAGACCTTTAGCCAGTCAGGCTAGACTTCCTAGCATTGGCCCTAATGCATGATGACGTAATACCTACATTTACATTTATTCATTTAGCAGACGCTTTTATCCTAAGCGACTTACGGATGAGATGTGTGATGTGAATGTGAGGTCGGTGTGGAAGCTGCTCTAATAACAGTGCTGCAGTCCAGCTGTTTGCGGTCAGCAGACACTCATGTGTGTTCGGCTCTGCATGTTAAACAGCCGCTTTCTGTGTGCTGCTGCTCTCCTTGATCTCTGAGTGTACGGTTTTTATGATTTGTAAAGTCTTAGAAAGCTACGGTTCGTTTTTAGCAGCAATATGTGGCTGACTTTTGAGCTACACGTTAACCTAAAATCATAAGTTATGTGTGCGAGTTGAATGTTTCGGGTCTTCTGCTCACCAAGGCTGCATTTATTTGATATAAAACACAGTAAAAACAGTAATAATGTGAGAAAATATTACAAATTAAAATAACGGTTTTCAATTGTAATATACTGTAAATTATCATTTATTTCTGTGATTCCAAGCTGAATTTTCAGCATCATTTCTCCAGTCTTCAGTGTCTCATGATCCTTCAGAAATAATTCTAATATGCTCATTTATGATTATTATCAATTAGGGATGCACCAGAACGAGTCCGATACCGATACTTTTCTTTTTGGTACTTGTAATACCGATACCTGTATTTTCATAGCATTTGTAATTTCTACAAATATTGGGTACAGAAACTAAAAAAAATGTTAGCTGGCTTTTTGTGTAAAACATTTTTGTTCAGGATTTTTTTGATGAATAGAAAATTCAAAAGAAAAGCATTTATTTGATATACAAATCTTTCATAACATTACAGATGTATTTATTATCGTTTTTGATCCATTTAATGCATCCTTACTAAATACAAATATTACTTTCTTTAAAACCCAAACTTTTAAACAGCAGCATATAGTTTCAGAGTCTATGAGATATTTAGGCTTGAAACAAGTTCTCTTGCTTTTATGGCATCAAAAAAATTTTGCATGTGGGAAATCAGACACAAAGAGTTCAGATCCAGAGGAATGGCACAGTATTACTGCAAAAGCTGTTATATGTGGTAGAGCACAGAGAGAGTCTCTTTTGACACAACCGCGTCTCTTTAGACCGTCATCATTCAGCCTTTCTGAGGTTATTTACATCAGTTAAACTTGATGTCAGGCTGTTGCACCAAAAATATCATTTATACTTATTCATGCCAAGTAATACAACCCAGCAGCCATTATTATACAGCTGTGTTCAACATGGACCCTTATTTCAAGTTTTATTTTGCTTGACCTTGGTGCGAAGGAAAGTAGTTGTGTAAAATGATGTGATGATAAAGGGAATTTGGGGATCTCAAAGAACCATCATTTCTTGCCGTCTTTCCACAGTTCATACTGAAATGAACAATTTCTCAAACTGTGAGAAAATAAATCGTAGAAAAACAGATGTCTGCTGTTTGCCAGGACATTATCCATTAATTTTATGGACATTATAATTCATGTATATTCCCATCATTCATGTAATACAGTAACACGTATAATAAATTAATAAATTAAATATTAATATTGTTATAAAATAAATAAATAAAATATTATATTGTAAATTACAATGATTTTTAAAATCATTTTAGGTTCGTTTTTCCTTATTTGTTAAGTTTACTTACATTTTCTGTAATAGGTATTTTGTGTGTGTGTATATATATATATACATATAATCTGAATATTTAGGACCATGTGATATTTCAGTTTTTCTTTTTTAATAAATCTGCAAAAATGTCAACAATTCTGTGTTTTTCTGTCAATATGGGGTGCTGTGTGTACATTAATGAGGAAAAAAAATGAACTTAAATGATTTTAGCAAAATATAACAATATAACAAAGAGTGAAAAATTTAAGGGGGTCTGAATACTTTCCGTACCCACTGTATATATATATATATACACACACACTCATACATGTCATGTAATACAGAAAAAATATAAAATAAAATATTGTAAAATATGATATTGTAAATTACAGTTATTTAATTAGTTAATTATTTAATTAATTAAATTAAATACTATGTCTAATTTTTGTCATTAGACTTTAGATTGAAACAAATATCATAAATATTACCCCAATTGGATTGAAATAATATGTGTGTGTGTGTGTGTGTGTGTGTGTGTAAAATGTATTTAATTCTTGTAATATATATATATATATATATATATATATATATATATATATACATTTATAATCTTAAATATTATAAATATGAATTTATATGATATTTCCTTTAATCCTAAAACACAATGCAATGCAATTCAATTAATTCTAAATAAATATGGAACATATGTGACCCTGGATCACAAAAGCAGTCTTGAGTCGCTGGGGTATATTTGTAGCAATAGCCAACAATACATTGTATGGGTCAAAATGATTGATTTTTCTTTTATGCCAAAAATCATTAGCATATTAAGTAAAGATCATGTTCCATGAAGATATTTTGTAAATTTCCTACTGTAAATATTTCAAAAATTAATTTTTTATTAGTAATATGCATTGCTAAGAACTTCGTTTGGACAACTTTAAAGATGATTTTCTGAATATTTTATTTTTTGCACCCTCAGATTCCAGATTTTCAAATAGATGCATCTCGGCCAAATATTGTCCTATCCTAACTAACCATACATCAATTGAAAGCTTATTTATTCAGCTTTCAGATAATATATTCATCTCAATTTTAAAAAAATGACCCTTATGACTGGTTTTGTGCTCCAGGGTCACATTTGTCACACAATACATTGAGCCCTATTTTTATAGGCTGTAAACAGCTTGATATGATTGTGTTGTTGATATTCTCCTGTTGTGATTGCAGTATTTATTTCAGGTTGTGTCTCTGTGTTTCTCAGGTGAGGTTGACTCTGGAGACGGTCTGTCCCGTCGGGATCGGTCCGGACTCGAGAGCGAAGGTGGCTCCTGCGGTCAGTCAGCTGGTGCGTCTGCTGTGGGGTGAGGACACCGTCGAGCTCCAGATGTCCATCGCACATGTCCCACACATAGTCATGTACCTCTCGCTCAAACTGGACTCCGATTCGCTGCAGGATGAGGTCAGTCCACTTGACTTCATTCAGAGGCACAAAACGTTCTGACTCTCCCCATTGATTGCATTACAAATATCATTTTCAGCTTGTGAGAACTGGGCAAAGCTAAAACAGCTGTGTGTGGATTATTTCAGTGCTTGATCCATTAACATTATTGCACCATCCAAAAGAGTTTCCCTGTTAAACCAGCCAACGGCGAGCTGCCAGGAATGAGCATGAATGGCTCTGCTGTGCCGCTGACGCTCGGCTCGCATTTATAGCGCCATCAGCGTGACGCGAGGAAACAGGAGAAGAGAGCGAGACGTTTGCCTGCGCCTGGCTGAATAATTCACAGCCAGACGCCATGTTCCCATCAGAGACCGAGAGAGAGAATTATAATAATTATATTTTATTTCATTTTCATTTCAGTTAACAAATATGTTTTTAATAGATTCAGTTAACAATAACAACAGGGTTCTTCACTCCTGCTCCTGCAGAGTCACTTTCCTGTGAAGCTTAGATCCAACTAATAACACTAAACACACTTGAATCTACTAATCGGAGTCTTTGAGTTTGCTTGAAAACTACATCCAGGTGTGTTGGATCACATTTAAAACTAAGGAATGAGGGACTCTGTCCTAGCCTTACACAGATTTACACCCTCTACAAAGATTTAAGTTGGTTTTTTGGCCTCCTGTCAGGCTGGAGTTTCGAACACATCGAAGCAGCTTTTGTAAATGCATCCGTCCAGGTGCTGAGAGTTCAGAGCAGTTGATTTACGCCGTTAAATCTCTCTGTGTTGCTCTCGTTTGCGCTCTGCCTCACTTAAAAACCTCTTTCTATACCGTGCCGAGCTCTAATGTGAGTTTGAGCGTTTATAATGTGTGTTTTTATGCGCTGCAGCTCTCAAACCGCAGGCCAAAACGACAGCAGCGAGCGACCGCCTCTGAACACTGACTTGAGCTTTAAGAGTGTAAGAAATACACTGAAGAGATAAGAGGTGTGTGTGGTTTGAAGGAGGACATGAGAACTTCATTTCTCACACAAACTCAAACGCTCGTGGTCTGAAAGCGTTGCCAGGTTGAATGGTTCCTGCTCCGCATACTAATCAAAATGAGAAAGGAAACGTCCCTCCCCTTCTTTCCTTCTATCTCAAGCTGCTGCAGCTTACGCAGGAGAAGAATAGCGGCTCCTCAGGGGAATATGTGTGGGTTTTGGCAAAGTTATGAGCTAGTCGTAATTCAAAGTCAACGTGTTTCGTAAAAGAGGAACTTAACTTATGAAAGATGGCCAATTTACTTGTTCCTAGTTATATAAACAATTTATGCTTCTTCAAAAAAAGTTAATATTTTATTATTATTTTATTAAAAGTTAATATGTTTTTAATTTGTTTTATTATTTTATTTTATCCAATTTATTTAATACATGTTCCAAATCTTATGAACAATTCATGCTTCTTCAAAAAATGTAATGTAATATTTTATTTTTAAATTGAATTATTTTTTCTTTTCTTTTGTTTTGTTTTCTTTTCCCAATTTACTTAATACATGCTCCTTGTTTTATGAACAATCCATGCTTCTTCAAAGTAGTACATATTTTATTTTATTTAATACATGTTCCTAATCTTATTAACAATTCAAGCTTCTTAAATTTTTTTTTAAATTTTCTTTTAATGTAATAAACACTTTTTTGTACATTTAATTGAATTTAACATTTTAATCAATTTAATTTAATTTAATGTTAATGAATTTAATGTAAAATGAAATTTTATTTATTTATTTAAAAAAATATTTATAATTTTTTTTTTAATTAATTTTTTTTTTGAGTGTTAGCATTTGAGTAAATGCTCACACTTTAGCTTAGTTTTTTTTTTTTGGGGGGGGGGGGGGTT